TGCCGGGCTCCATCCGCACGGCCGAGCACTTCCTGGGCTCCCTGCGGCGGCTGCTGGAGTACGTCAAGTGGCGGCTGCGCGTGCAGCACGTGGTGCAGGAGAGCCCCCCCGCCTTCCTGAGCGGCCTATGTCAGGCGTGTAAGTGAGGAGTGGGGGGCGAGGGAACGTGCCTGGCACCTGTCGGCCAGAGCAGGTGGATCCCAGGATCCTGTGTTGGGCAGGGCCTGGCAGGCAGCAGGGGCCTGACCAGAGAATTTACCGGAAGCCTTGGATGGAGACGCTGTTTGCAGAGGGGTGGACCGGCTGCTCTGCCTCTGACGGGTGGGGCGGCCCTTTGTGAGGGCGGAGATGGGGTCCCCGTACCCACCACATGTTCCCGAGGACCTGCTTTGTGCACAGGGCGGAGGAGCCAGCAGGGCACCTATGAGAGCTCAGAGGTAGTTCCACCCCAGGCCCTAAGGAGGGGCTCCTGACCAGACCGCGCAGGTGGGAGCTCCTGGGCCCCTCCATTGCTCCCCCACCGCAGCCTGAGGACAGGAGAAGGGGTCTGGCAGGAGGGCGGGGCTCGCTGGACGCTCCTGCGCTTTCTGGTTAGGTCACCAGTCCTCTCTGGGCATCAGGCTCCTCCTCTGTAAAATGGGGAGGGGGTTCCCTTCCACGCAGGTGTCCGGTGGCTCATGAGAAAGCAGTGATGGCAGTGCCCGCCCTGTCGCAGGACTGACATGAGCTAAGCACTTAGTATCCCCTGCCTCATGGAGTCCTGTGGTGTCCCGCCTGCAGATGAGGACACTGGCCCCGGGGGAAGCCATTGCCCCGTCACCCAGCACTGCGTGGGCTATTGTGCAAAGCCAGGCCTGGGAGCGCCGAGGCCTCTCCCAAGAGGGGGGGGCTTGTGAGGGCGGAGATGGGGTCCCCGCACCCACCACATGTTCCCGAGGACCTGCTTTGTGCTGGGGACACAGTGGTGACCCCCGCCCTCCAGGCTCACAGCCTCAGTGGGGAGACAGACCATCTCCAGGCAGAGACCAACCCGAGCAGCTGGGCCGGGAGGGGGAGCCCAGAGGCACACCCGATCCAGCCGGGAGTCGGGGTGGGACGGGGTGCGGAAGACAGACAAAGAAATGACATCAGGAGCAGGTTTTAAACTCTGGAGCCGGACGGTCCTGCTCCATAACCTGCCTGTCCCCAAGAGGTGAGAGCCTGCGGCCCAGTGGTCAGTGTTTGTGGCTGGGTGGTCTGTGTGCACAGGTGTGACAGCGTGTGTGAGCCTGTGGGGCTGTGTGCATGTGGGACTCTGAAGCTGTGTGTCAGCAGGATGGCCGAGTGTGACTGAGGCGGATGAGGTTCTGGGTGTACGTGTGTGACGTGTGGCCGAGCAGGGTCACGTGGCTGGGATTCTGGGTGTGGCTGTGGAGCTCCAACTTTGACAAGAACCTGCGTGTGAGATTTTGTGACCGTGTGTGACGTGGGACCACGTGACTCGGGTGTGTGATTATTTCTCTGTGTGCCGATGGGCCCTGTAAATGTGCGGGCACAGAGGTGACTGCAGCCCCAGTCCCTGCCCTCACTGTGGAGATAGGTGCTCTGACAGCGGAGGAGGGGCTGCTGTCCTGTCTGTCCTTCCCCCTCCCCCTCCCCCTCACCCCGTGTGGCCTCCCCACCAGGTTCTGCGCTGAACGCCTCCGCTCCCTCCTGCACACCTTGGAGATCGCGGACCTCGCGGACTTCTCCCCGCTCACGCTCCTGGCTAACTTTGCCACCTTAGTCAGCACCTACGCCAAGGGTGAGTGCACCTCTCCCCGCCTCGGCCGCCCCCTGGCAGCTGGAATCAGGATCCCATTGGGTCCGGAGGGTTGTCTGTGGGACTTGGACACTCGGGACCTTGTGTGGGTTCAGGAGTTTGGACTTTGAGGGCACTGGGGAGCCACCAACAGTTTTGAGTGAGCGAGCCTCCTGCTCAGATTTGTGCCGTGAGAGGCTCCCTCTGGCTGCAGACTGGAGGAGGGGGTGGGGGCGGGGGTGGGATGGTATGAGATGAGGCCAGAGAGGTTCTCTGGGGTCAGCTCACACTTAGGGTGTGGTAAGGACCTGATTGTTCTTTTTTTTTTTTTAATATATTTTATTGATTTTTTACAGAGAGGAAGAGAGAGAGATAGAGAGTCAGAAACATCTATCAGCCGCCT